AGACCTGGGTGGTGCCTCAAAGAGCTATTTAGAAGGTGGATCAGGTTCTGAAGGCCATTTTGGAAAGGGAGCGGAGGGTGAGCTGAGCAGTCTGGTTTCCCAGCTGCGGTCCAAGTGGCAGCTCTTTGCCCCTCGGAGTTCACCCCGGCTCAGAGGATTGTTTGTCCAAAGCCTGGAGCTGACTCGATTCACCACTGTTGAGCAGATGTTCTTACAAATACGAGCAGAAGGCAAGGGTGCTTTCCAGAAACTGCTGTTCAGTTCAGAGAAAGTACAACCTGACAGCCATAGGGGGAACCAACAGTGACAGTGATTTCAAAGTTTGAAAACCTTCTGCAGTTTAAATATTTCAGGCTAAATAGATTTCTTTGTGAGGCCCAGACGTGCAGTACTCCAGACCATATGCACGTAGCCTCCCAAAGCGGAGGAGAATTCGATTCCAAAGAACGCTCTTCGGAGTCCACTCGCTGTGGAATTAGTTCCTAATAGGGTCGATGTGGTAAATAGATTAAGCACCCGCCATATTGGCAGCCGCCTTCTGTGTTTGTTCAGCGTTGACTGGCAACTCCCTAATCTTTCTCAGGTTGAACATAATGACGTCCCAAGGAAGATCAAAGGAACACTGCTTGTCCCTTGGATATACATCCCCGAAATGAAATGCCAGAGTTCAGGAAGTTCAAGAAAAACACAAGAGAAACGTGTAACACGGACTAACTGCAAGACCTAACGAGTCAGGGAACGTAATGAAAACCACAGGCCCGCCCTGTGTATAGGCAAACTCAGGACTTCAGGGGCGCAACTTCGTAGGGAATACAGACTCCAGATTTTTACTATCTAAATAATCTTAACGGGAAAGAAAAATTATGATTTTTTGAGTCACTCCAGCAAATTGAATGCTTCTCCGGGCAACCTGATTTTGTCAAAGTTTATCTCAGCTTCTTAAAAAGGCCCATTCAGCCCTTGACTAATATTAATGTGCCACTTCCATGTGTTTTCACAAAATCCTACAGCCAAACCGGTAATCCTCTCCCCGTCATATTTCAGCTAGTCCTGCCCCAGTAATTATCAGGAAGAGGACCAGGAATATCCAGCTGGATCCCGACGCGGCACGGCAGCCTCTCAGAAGGGGTTTCACTTGGGTCAACGGGATAAACAAAATGAATGGATGGAATCCTGTCTTCGAGGTGGCGAGAGCGTGGGTCTGGGGGTTCCAGACGTCTGGAAGCCTGTGAGCTCAGCCGGGTCGGTCACAGCATAAGGCTGTGTCTCTGGGTCTCCCGTCTTCAGCCTCTGTTCCTTCCTTTGTGAGAGTAAATGCTGAATTAAATGAGCCTGTCTGTCCCAGCATTGTTTATGGTTCCACTTCTCTGTGGCTTGGTTTCCTCACCTGTAAAACCGGGACAATAATCCTCCCGGAATGATTACCAACATGACATTATTTAAAATATGCTGAAGTGCTGGCGACAAAGCGAGCTTGCAAGGTATTTGAGTTAGGATCTTAATCATCGCCCTCATCACCACAGGACAAGAACAGCCAAACAGATAATGGGCCCAAGGGTTTCATCCATGTTCTGCTTTTGAAAAATGTAGCCTGAGAGAGGATGTGATCACTGCTACCCCAAATGATGATTTCCCAAGTTCTTTTTTTTTTTGTTTTAAGATTTTATTTATTTATTTGACAGAGAGAGGGAGAGAGAGCATGCACAAGCAGAGGGAAGAGCAGGCAAAGGGAGGGGGAGAAGCAGGCTCCCCGCTGAGCACAGAGCCCAATGCAGGACTTGGTCCCAGGACCCTGGATCACGACCTGAGCCGAAGGCAGAGGCTTAACCAACTGAGCCACCCAGTCGCCCCTGCCCCCAGGTTCTAACTGCAAGTTCCTAAGTAGAGAAAGCAGCCAAAAATGCTAAAAGAATAAGCCACCCCCACCCCCAACATATTCAACAGACTTACCCTACGGCCCAGCAACTCCACTTCTGTGTATATACCCCCAAAGAACTGAGAGCAGAGACTCAAACCGATTTGTACGGCCGAGTGTGTAGGGGCAGTTGCCCAACAGCCGTGCCCATCAGAAGATGAGTGGGTAGAGCACGTGTGGCACAGGCGCGCAGCGAAATATCATCCAGCCTTCATGAGGAAAGAACCCGTGACATGTGCAGCAGCTTGGGTGATGAACACGTGATGCTTGAGACACGTAACGGAAACGTGGTGCCAGGTGAAATACGCCCGACACAGAGCAGATACTGCCTGATTCCACCTTCACTGGGCACCCAGAGCATGAGACTCCTAAGACAGAAGGAGACTGGTGGTTGCCAGCGGCGGGGGTTGTGTGCAGGGGGTGTTCTTGTTTAATGCAGAGGCTTCAGCTTTGCAAGAGGAAAAGGCTCCATGAGAACAGTGATGACGCCGTAGCAACGCCAACGTGCTTGGTGCCACCGAGACACATAACTGAGGCGCCCTAAGCTCCTGTTATGTGTATCTTACCACTAAGCAATGGGCAGAGAATGCGAGGTCCTTCACACAGACCCTGCCGTGATCTCAGGGGACCTAACTTATCTCCTACTTCCGGTGGATCCAAGAGGCAGGAATACTTGCTGACTGACCACGGGGTGAATCCCGTCTCATGACCAAAATAGGATCACAAAAGGGTCTTCTGAGAGCTAAATCCAGCACCTGCAGATAGGACTTGTTTGGCTCGAACTGCCTTTTTGGAATTAGGTGTCCATTTTACAAATTAGAAAAATTTATATTAAAAAATAATGGTTTGAGCTTTTCTTAACAAATTACAAGTTCTGTTAATGCTTCACAGTGGGAGAAAAAAAAACTCAACTGGAAGCCCCCAGGCTGGGTAGCTCTCTTGCCCTGTCTCCTCCAGCACAGCCACACCCCTGCCCTGCTCCACCCTGGACTTCAGCACCTCCCTCCCTCCTGCATCCTCCTCACCCTCCCCAGCCCCCCAAGTCAGCCACAACCCTCCTGAGGTTCCAGGGAAGTACAATTAGCTTTCAAACAGACCTGTCAGAAAAGAACATGTGAACAGCCAACATGGAAAGAAACTCCCTCTCATTAATAAGGAGGAAAATACAAAGTAAACCATAATGAGGTATCCTATCCCACCCCCACCCCCAATGGGTAAAAAATTTAAAGGCTGGTACCACAGACTTATGAGGGTTTGAACAACATACATTTTTACACAGCTGGTGGGAGTCTAAATTGGTTTAAACCACTGTGGAAAACCATGTGGCATTATCTGCTAACGGTGGCATTCCCTGCTCTGTGACGCAGTGACTCCGCTCCTCAGTTTGTGCCCTAATAGAAACATCAACACTTGGGCACCTGAAGATGATACAAGAATGTGTGAAATTGCAGAACCCTGGAGAGACCTCCAGGCCCATTAACAGCAATTGCATAACACGGAGAGGTGTAGTTCTGTGACAGCACATTGTAAAGCCCTGAATGAATGAACGGGAATGAATCATAGCCACACACCGACATGCTCAGTAACAATGTTGAGTGGGAGAACAAGTCAGGGAAGAACACCTACAGCATTCTTTCTTTTATATACAATTTAAAAACGTGACACCAAACATATTGTTGAGTGGGCAGAGACACAGTAGATCTACAAAAACCAGCCAAGGGTTGACAGCCTTGGGAGATGGAGATCTTTGGGAAGGGAAGGAGGGGATGGGACAGGGAGGGGTTCCCCGAGGGGTTCAAAAATAAGAGTAAATGTTTCTTTCAACTGGGTGGTGGATACAGGAATGCTCATTCGTTGAATCATTAATTATATTGTGTATGTCCTATAAAGATACTCTTTTGGAGCCAATATGCAATTTTTCAAAAAATTTCAAAGTTTCTTCTCCCAAAATGATCGGGTCATTGTACAGTATGCTGAGGTTAAACATGAAGAACAGCTCTTTGAGGCACTCAATTCATGGCAAAGCAGATCTGTGAACAAACATGCAGAAAGTCTTGTAAAAGTTGTTTCTCATAGTCATTCAAAACCTCAGGTAGAGTGAAAGTCAGAAAAGTGTCAGAGTCTGAGGCGCCTGGTTGGCTTAGTAGGTGGAGCATGTGAGTCTTGATCTTGGGGTTGTGGGTTTGAGCCCCATGCTGGGTGTAGAGATTACTTAAAAATTGTTTTTTAAATCTTGAAAAAACATCTTAAAAAAATAAAAGTGTCAGAATCTAGTCAGGAATCGGAGTCTACATCAGGGATTTCAGTAGAGGTACCACCCCTAGGAAGACAGGGACAGAGGAGGCAGGACCCCGCCCTAGAGCAACAGGGGCCTCAGAGGAAATGCAGTCACTGCCAACATCACTGCCCAAAGCAGAGCAAGAGAGGGTGGAATGCCCTGTCTCTTGATCCTCCCTGCCCTCAGCCTCCCAGAAAGGCCTTCCCAGGGCCAGATGTAACCTGAGAAACAAGAGTTGACATAGTTTGGCCCCTTGCACACAGCAAGGGTGGGCAATGGAGCTTAGGGTAGCCAGGGAGGACAGGGAGAGCCACAGAGAAGCCCCAGCAGCCAGCTACTCTGCATGGATTCTCTTATTTAATCTTTGCAATGATTCAATGGGTAAGTTACATGTTGCTCCTCTTCTACATAAGAGTAAGGTTCGGAGAGGTTAAGTAATTGGCCCCAGATCACCAAGCAGTTTAGTGGTGGAGTCGGGACTGAGACTTGGACAATCTGAGTCCAGAGCCACTCCTTCTGCTGATTCTACTTCTTCATATACTCCTTTCGTTAATGAAATCAAACTAGGAAATCAAAAACTTGAGGGTTAAATTCAACTATTTAATGACTGACTTTATCCCCACGGGGCCACATTTTTACTGTAATTTTCATTCAGTTCTGTTTATCAATCCTGTACCACATTTGTCTCAGGCAATGAGAGGAGGGCTTCCAGAGTAAAACCAGTGGACCTTCCTAATTAGTCTCACTAATTCCATGTGTGCCTCAGATAAGGTAGGTATCTTGGATGACCCATTCAAGGAAGTTCACTTAATCCAACTTAATGAAGCCTATATCCTTGGCGTACTGACAGAAACACTGGTGGCATATGTTGAGGCCATATTTCCGGATCAGACCGTGCCGGTTTGAATAGATGTGGCAAGAACTAGAGCCCTGGCCAAACTTCCTCGCGTGGCTCCAGTAGAGCTGCTGGTGACCCATCTTGCTCTTTCTGATGCAACGAGGCAAAAAAAAAAAAAAAAGTAGAGCTGATTTTCAAGAGTGATTCTTGAGTTTACTAATTACCCTTTCTTGTTCTGCATCATGGTTGTAATTTATGACATATGGACAGTGCCCTATTTCTGAATGACTTACTAAGACCTGGCGATGCCTCCTTGTGCTATCACTTTTCCATTTTTCCCAGAAAAGTTCTGGCTGCTGCCACCCGAGAACCTGGCCTCTTTGCTAATGCTACCATTGTTATCAAAGAAGTCAACACCTTTGAGATCCCTGAAGCTCTGAGAAGTCCAGTTTATATTTCCCTTCCTTCACCCACCACCTCCAATTCCACCAAGCCTAGTGGCTCTTTCCAAGACAGGCATTGCCTCTCACCTTCGCCCAACTTGACTAGTCCCCAGACTTGTCTGTGAACCTATGGTGTATTTAACTTCAGTGTTCTATTCCTGGAAGTTCTATTTGGTTCTTTTTCATATCTGCTAGATTTTTTTTACAGTTTATTATTCCCTATAAATATGTTCAAGTTTATAATTTATTTGATAAATACATTTGTTTTATAATAGTCTGATCATTTCACTACCAAAGGTAGGTGCAGGTTTGTTTCTGCTGTCTGTTGTTTCTCTTGATTTTCACTCTTGTAGCATTTCTTGTGCAAGCCATAATCTTCAGGAATAAAAAAAAATGCTTCAAATGACAGACAGAAACAAAATCTCTCAGTCATTGTTTTTTTTTAATTTTTATTTCTTTATGATAGTCACAGAGAGAGAGAGAGAGAGAGAGAGAGAGAGAGAGGCAGAGACATAGGCATAGGGAGAAGCAGGCTCCATGCACCGGGAGCCCAACGTGGGATTCGATCCCGGGTCTCCAGGATCGCGCCCTGGGCCAAAGGCAGGCGCCAAACCGCTGCGCCACCCCCAGGGATCCCTCTCAGTCATTCTTAAACCCAGTAATTCACAATCATCTTGATGCAGGAAAAAGGGATATGTGTTGGAAATATATGTGTAAGCCCAGGATCACCTGTCAAGGTCTGTTGGAGTTGAGTCTATTGAATTTTGAACTCATCTCTTTGTAGAACTGACTCCTGTGACCTTTATTCCTCTTCCTTGGCTACAACTCACCCACTGCCCTCAGGCTTACCTTAATAATTGTTATGTGATGTTCACAAAGCTTGTCAAATCCATTACTACTCTGATTTTCCCTGCAGTCCTTTGAGATGGGCAGAACTGGGTGTTTTTATCCTTATTTTCCAGACAATAAAACAGTTCCAGTGAGCTTAAAAGTCTTGCCCAAAATAATGAGGGTAAAGAATGGGGAGAGAGTGAGATGAGACCTTGACGCTGTCCTCCCCCCATGTAGCATCTCTTCATTGGTGGATACAGGCAGCTGATTTCCCAAACCAAACCACTGCATTTGTTGCCAAGAGACATTTCTTTCCAGCAATGAGGTTGAGAGACATGACTGGTCACTCAAACTGGCTATAAGGTGATGGTTCCTCTAGCATGGCCCTCAACTCTCTTTCAGTGAGGCCTGGGTTCCCACACCCAGCCAATGCAGAAGCTCTTGTGATTTTTCTTATGTCTTGAGTGAGAGGATGAGCAATCACCTAGAAGAGATGGAAAGAAAGAGGAGGAAGAGACCTCATTAACAGGAGCTGAGGAACTGGGCCTGTTGGATCAGACTTGTTGGAGCTGAAAGCCCTTAGAGAAATGTTGCACCTACTTGCAGAAACCTTTACAGCAGGAAGAAGGAGAGACAGACCACTGAGTCATGGAAAATGATGTTTTGGAAAATGCCTGCAGTCGTTTGAAAGTGGACGTCTCTGAATGGCTGGAACGATCCCCTGGGGTGTGAGAGGTAGAGTACAGTAAACACCAGTTTCAAAGAATGCCGGGCCTCTCTGTCAAGCTGATGACTGCTGGAATGTGAGGACCAAGAGGTGGAATGGGCCAGACACTTTTCTCAGTAAGCAATCTAATAGAGATACAAAAGAAAGGAACTCCTTTTAGAGCTGTGAGGACCCTTGAAACCCATGAAAGGGTGTGTGACACCAAATTCAGACAGAGCTGGTTTACATACAAGCTCTCCAGTGACTGGCTGGTGACCTTGGGCAAATCGTTTAATTTTTTTTAAACTTCAGTGTCTTCATCGACAAAATAAGGAGCAACAACAATATTGCCTATGTTATAGTCTGGTTTAGAGAGAATGGAATGACCTGAAGCATGTTAAGTGCATGGTAATAGCTAGCTAGTACTGCTACCATTCCTTTTATGAGGTTCAGAGAACCCTCTGATGTTCAGAGAGGCAACATGCCCCAGGTCATCCAGGACAGACTCCCTGATGGGTGGTCATTATAGCAAAGCACTTATTTGGATTTTTTTAAAAAAAATTTTCTCAAGGACTCAGTTTCCTCATCTGTAAAATGGTTATAATATATATTCTCAATATTTTATTCAAAACCTTGGAGCCAGATGTGTTCAAAGCTTAGAAAGTTCAATGTGAGGGGTGCCTGGGTGGCTCATCCAGTTAATTGTTGGACTCTTGATTTTGGCTCAGGTCATGATCTGAGGGTCATTGGATCAAACCCCACGTCATGCTTTGTGCTCAGCACAGAGTCCACTTGTCCCTCTCCCTCTGCTCCTCCTCCTGCTCACTCTCACTCCCCTCCACCCAGATATATAAAATCTTTTTTAAAAAAATTTCATTGTGAATGCCGATCTCCAGAGGGGCATGGGGCAGAATCCAGTAATCAAACACATCAGTATTTTTGCAGCAAAATGTGAGAGTGTTTAAGTGAGAGAAATAAAGACTGCATATAGTTTCATGTTGGTTCAGGTCAGACTTTGCTAATCTGCCAATCTGCAATTTTAATAAGAAGTATTTTGGTTTTTAAGCTCTGAAAATTCAGATTGTGGACCTGTGATGCCTATTTCAGATGATTTGGAGGATTCTACAGGATGGCCCATAGCAAGTGGCTGGCATAGGTGGGAGCTCTATATTAAAGTAACTATTATCATCAGCTAGTCCAGTGCTCAAACGCAGTGCTGCAAGGTGTTAAGTCATGGAGACTGTACAGGCACGATATGACAATCTCAGAGACCCTCAGGAAGATGTCTTACCCTAGCACTCAGCCTAAGCATACCATGCCCTTCCTGCAGGGCTAAATAAGAGATGAGAAAGGGGCAAATGCCCCATGAAAACCTCTTATACTATCAGTCTGAACCATGAGAACTTTACGAGTTCTCTTGGGTAAGAGCCCATTTTCTGAAGCCTCTGGAAACTGTGAGGGTTATTTTATTTTTTTTATTGAAGTTCAATTTGCCAACATATAGCATAACACCCAGTGCTCATCCTGTCAAGTGTCCCCCTCAGTGCCTGTCACTCAGTCACCCCAACCCCCTGCCCACCTCCCTTTCCACCACCCCTTGTTCGTTTCCCAGAGTTAGGTGTCTCTCATGTTTTGTCACCTTCACTGATATTTCCCACTCATTTTCTCTCCTTTCCCCTTTATTCCCTTTCACTATTTTTTATATTCCCCAAATGAATGAGACCATATAATGTTTGTCCTTCTCCGATTGACTTACTTCACTCAGCATAATATGTGAGGGCTATTTTAGTTAGGGAATGAGGATGATGATGCTCTAACCCAGAGACTGAAACATCAAGGACCAGACAAAGGAGTTGGGTGTGGCTTATGGCAAGTGGGACAATACCTGCCCATCCCAAAGGGAAGATGCCACCCACTTCGAGTCATTGGTTTCCATGTAGTATTTAAGCCTTGTGTTGCCTAACCATTTGAATTGTTAGGAGTCAAAATCTGAAATATGTGAAATATCCTGGCTTTTACCTGGTGGCCACTAATATTTTTTAATTAGTTGATTTATTTGAGAGAGAGAGAGAAAGAGAGGGCAGGAAGAAGGACAGAGGGAGAGGTAGAATGAGAATCTCAAGCAGACTCTCCACTGAACACAGAGCCCCAAAGTGGGGATCAATCTCCCAACCCTGAGATCACATGACCTGAGCTGAAGCCAAGAGTGGGATGGTTAACCAACTGAACCACCCAGGCACCCCTGCCACTAATATTTTTAAACATTGTACAAATGCAACAAAATGGCTATGGACCTCTGATCTAAACAATCAGAGTAATTTAAGTGAGAGCATACTGTGTGTTAGACAGTGCCCTACAAGTACAATGGGCTTATATTTAATCCTACAGCAACACTAGGAAGGAGGAGCTGTCAGTGGCATTTTACAGAGCAGGAAAATTAAGGCTCAGATGACAACATTACATAAAAATGGTTAATGTCCTACAAGTCAATAAAACTGTGACCTTGGGGGCTCTCCTTTCTACAAACAGTAATCATTTACATCCCTACTGAAAAAAAATTTATCAGTCTTCTACAAGTTAATATTAAAGTTACAGTGTCTGGACTTTAAGCATAGTTATCTCAGTCAGCCCAGGCTTCCGTAATAAAATACCTCAGACTGGGTGGCTTAAACAACAAATATTTATTTTCTCAAGTTCTAGAGGCTGGAAGTCCAAGATCAAGGTTCCGGCCAATTCAGTTTCTGGTGAGAAACTGAATTCTCTCTTTCTGGTTTGTAGATGCCCATTTTTTTGCTATATCCTCACATGACCTTCCTTGATATATGCATGTGGGGTGATGGGGAGAGAGAACTCTTTGTTATCTCTTCTTTTTAAATTTTAAAATTTTTAAAAAGATTTTATTTATTCATTCATGAGGGACACACACACACACACAGAGAGAGAGAGAGAGAGAGAGAGAGAGAGGCAGAGACACAGGCAGAGGGAGAAGCAGGCTCCATGCAGGGAGCCTGACATGGAACTCCATCCAGGGACTCCAGGATCACACCCTGGGCTGAAGGCCACTGAGTCACCCGGGCTGCCCTGGTGTCTCTTCTTATAAGGACACTAATCCTATTGAATCAGGGCCTCACTCTCATTAACCTTAAGCACTTCCTTAGAGATCTTA